CATGCCTCGCTCTCAGAGGAGCCGTAGAGGAAGACGCTCTCGCTCGCCGACACTCAATTCATTTAGGATGCAGCGAGGGAACGGTGGAAAAAAGAGGACGGCTTGCTGGATGTGCAGCAAGTTTACATCCATGGCAGCACTCCCAGGCTTTCAGAAGACTTATGAAGCTCACTGCTCATTTGCTGACTGGATTTCAGAGCAAATAATCATGAGTTAAAACATTTGTACAGAACGAAACATTCTGGTGCTACTTGGGAGCAACATACAGGTATTTATGAATTAACATCCTCTTCCTCAAACAGAGAATTGCATCTGTTTTGGCAGACCGTTTGATGGATGCTAACATTTACCGTCTAAACAAACTAGGCATTTTAGCATGCATGAAGGAAGTAAAATCACAAATGAGACCATCAAGCTGCTTGCCAAGGACGCAGAGATTAAACTGAGAACAAATGGAGTTCTCAGCTGCATGTTTCTCACTTCAGACTATCCTACTTTAAGAGCATTTTTAGCTTATTTCCAGGTTTTTTTTTTTTTTAAGAGAGTGCATCATTAAACAAGTGTATTTTCTCTTATTGCACTGACAAAAACATAATATTATTTGCAGCTTTACTTTCCAAGTAAATGTATCTTGTTTTAAGCATTTCCAGCTATTTTTACTGGAAAACAAGTCAAAAAATTACTCGTTTAAAAATCCACATAAAGTGCCTCAACTATTTTCTTATACAAACCTGAAGGAAGTAAACTCACAAATTAGATATTTTTACCATCGGACTGTTTTCCAAGAACATAAAAAGATCAAACTGAGAACAAATGGAGAAATTGAAGTCCACTGTATGTTTCAGACTTAATACTTTAAGAGTATTTTGAACTTATTTCCAGTTAAAATATATAAAAATGCTTGGAGCAAGATCAATTTACTTGAGAAGCAACGTTGCATGAGACAGCAAGACCTGTTTTAATAAGTGTATCATTAAACAAGTGTATTTCTGCACTGAAAAAGACAAGGAAAGAAGAACTGTTTTAAGCATTTCTAGGTATTTTTACTGGAAAACAAGTCAAAAAATGGCTCATTTAAAGAGCCATGTTAAGTGCCTCAAATATTTTCTTAAACAAACCCAAAGTGAGATAAAATTGTGAACATTTAACTGTTTTCCAAGAACACACAGAGATTATACTGTGAACAAATGGACACATAATCTGAAGTCTTTCTCACTTCCGAAAATCCTATTTTTAAGAGTATTTTTTTCATCTGATTTTCAATTTTCCATTTGTGACCCTGGACCACAAAACCTTAAGTCGCTGGGGTATATTTGTAGCAATAACCAAAAATACATTGTATGGGTCAAAATTATTGATTTTTCTTTTATGCCAAAAATCATTAGGATATTAAGTAAAGATCATGTTCCATGCAGATATTTTGTAAATTTCCTACCGTAAATATATTAAAACCTATTTTTTGATTAGTAATATGCATTGCTAAGAACTTCATTTGGACAACTTGAAAGGCGATTTTATCAATATTTAGATTTTTTTTTTTGC